TAGTGCTAAGAAAATTTAAGAGGTTCAAGGACCTAAGGAATGATTGTTAGCTTAAGAATAAGGGCCTAGCAACATTCGAGGACGAATGTTTTTAAGGAGGGAAAATTGTAACACTCCTCAAATTTATAATAGTTTCAAGATACACTAATTATAGAATTAAATTATTATTATTATTATTATTTTTCTTGTTAATAGTGAATATACATAAATATATATACACACACACACACTCATAAATAATTGGATATACAATTAGGAAAATATTATTATTTATTAAAGGTGGGTATCATTAATTATTAGTTACAGAAAAATACTAGGGTTCTTCACAACTCACTTATTCTTGAACTCAGGTATGTAAAATCCCTTATTGTCAATTACCCTACAGTAGTAATAGGTAAGAATTGAATAGCTAAATCCCTTCTTCCTCTATATCATCAATAAATTTCATAATTAGGTGTAGTACTTTAAAATTGATCAAAATACACCGGTTGTTGTAGAATCGATTGTTTGACTGGTGTCGATTGGACTGGGGTCTACGTATTGGCTCAAGGAGTTTTGAGGTGAGTTGATATAACCCTTTACTAAAGTGGTTTAACTCACAAAAGCACGCATACAAGGTGTTTGATGAATTGCTTAAAAGAGTTTATCTTTATTTAATTAGAGCGAGTGAGCCCATTAATGTAGAATTTGTTCTAGCAAAAGTTTAGATGGTCTATTACGCTATATGTGCTTAAATTTTCAAATTTTTGTGTTGTTCTTATATGCTATTTTCATGTTGAAAATTATGAAGAAGAGAATCTTTGAAAATATTTTTATATGTTTATTTCATTCTTATGCCATGCTTTACATTTAAGGACACCAATATGAACATGTACATAATGTTCTATAAAGAAAGGATTTAGACTTGAAAAGTCACAATAAGAAGTTTTAGAAAGAAAAGATTTTTGGGGAGTATCCTTTATTCTGAGAAGAGGTCATCGTCCAGGCCGAGGGTCCTGACCAAGGCGTTGACTTCCTGAAACTACTTGTGCCAAAGTAGGGAGCATACGAGCCGAGGTTCTCGTTGCTGAGAATTTACTTAGCCATGCTAAGCTATGATACATGAGCGCTGAGAACCATGAAGTGAGTGGCACCTCGTGGATTGGGCCTATTCGATCAGGTTGGGATCGAACCCGTGCCGATCACACGGTGACTGAGACAGAATTAAGTCAGGATAGTTGGAACTCCCAAAGTATAAAGTGAAGTATTTTTTTTATAAAAAGAAAAAGAAAAGAATTTCTTTTAGAATATTCATAAATTGCTATTATGCAATTATTTTAGAATTATTCTTATAAGCTTTATGTTTTACATGCATTTAGAACCTTTGCTCGTAACGTATATGTTATTAAAGTTTCTCCCCCTGTTGTTGAGACTCACTGAGTACAGTGGATGGTACTGACGTTCTCTTTTGGGAACCTACGTTGGTCTGCGGTACAACGTAGGAACCGGATTTGCAGGCGAGCAGGCTACGAGTTAGGACTTCCTTCCCTTCCAGTGATATTGGTGAGCTCCGCTTTTGTTCGTGGAGTATTCTTAGAGTCATTTTCATTTAGCTATTTCTTTGTTTATTTAGAGACCTGGCCAGGAAATCTCATGTCCTGAGCAGTGCGTCAGTTTATCAGTAGAGGCTTCATAGACATAGTCAATGGGTTAAGATTTAGATGTTTTTTTTATTATAATAACTTAGAATAAATTTGGTAGTTAGTACGTATAAAGTTTTGGAGTTGCTTTATTTAAATATTTATATTAATCAAAAGTATTTGGTTGGAGTATTAACTTGTTGCATATAAAGTTTGAAGTTATAATAGATTTGATCAGCAGAGATGGTTCGCCCGGTCAGGTTTAGTGATCGAGTGCCGGTCCCGGCTTGTTTAGAAAATGGGTCGTGACAGTTTTCCCAACCAACCTGAAGAGTTTGACACTCGTAGGAACACATTTACTGTGGACGGATATGACAATGCTTGGTCGCTTACCCAATCTTGAGATGCTCAGACTAAAATATTTTGCTATTCAAGGGACCAATTGGAATTTAAGCGAAGGGGGTTTCAAGAAACTCAAGTTGCTACACATTTTGATGACGAACTTGGTGCAATGGAAAGCAACCAGTGATAGTCTTCCTAACCTTGAGTGTCTAGTCATAAGGCATTGTTATAAGTTGAAGGAGATTCCTGCAGAAATTGGGGATATTCCCACATTAAAATTGATTGAGTTGCATCATTGTAGCCAAGCTGTCGTTACTTCTGCAGAGGAAATTCTAGAAGAACAACAAAGCATGGGAAATGAAGTTCTTGTGGTCCGCACCTACAATACTGGAGGCAAGTAAACTTATGTGCTTATAAGTTATAATAATAGACCTTGGCTGTGGTTATTTCTTTGTCTTTCCCACTTCTAATAACTATTCACTGGTGTGCGAGTTGCAGTACAATATTTCGACATGGGTGGTGAAGAAGATGAAGAAGCTGCTATTGTTTCCACCTACGGCTCAGATATGACATATAATCAAATGAGCAATATGGGTGTAAGTGCAAATAAATCTTGCTTTATCCGCCGTTTTGCAATTTACCTTCATTTTGTCGTTTTCTTTTTCTAGTACATATCTTTTGTTTTTCCCTTCTCACGCATATCTCACACACTTTGCTGGTCAAGAAGGCATATAACAAAATGCAATGTGCCTTTGTTACTAATTCATCCATTTGTTACTGAATGCATGGTCAAGTTAAATAAATAATGCATTAGTTTAGACAAGTGAGAAAACCTGGTTATTCTAATTTGCATTATTATTTGTTGCGGAAGCCAAATGTATAGAGTGTGAATAAGTCACAACTACTATACCAAAAATTATGACAGCCACCAAATAATAAATAAGACAATAAAGCAATAATAAAGGGAACACCAGAATTTACGAGGTTCGGCTAATTCTGCCTACTCCTCGGACACAACCAAATATTTTATTCCACTCCAAAATACAAGTGAAATAATACTAAAGAGAGAAGATACAAATGCCTTAAACAGATGAGAAGGCAAATGAGAGGTGTGTCTCAATCCTAAACATTAGGCCTTCTTTTATAGGGGAAAAATCCCCTCCAAACTTAACTCCCAACCAATGTGGGACTTTGGCATTTTGCCAAACTTCAACATTATTCTCATATTATTTACACGGAAAATGGCCTCTCTACGAGAGGCGGAGCCAAAATTTCAAGCGTATAGGTTCGAAATTCTAATTATATTAAGTTACTGGGTTCTGCAAAAAAAATTTATACATAATCAATGAATTTTTAACGATAAATATAAAGTTTGAATGAAAGCTACTAGGTTTAGCCGAATCCGTAACGGACACTCTAACTTCGCCCCTGCTCTTGTTACTCATTTTCTGTAATCACTTTGTAAAAGGATTCACTTGTTAGCAAACGCATTTTAAATGACATGTAATCCCTTTAGAGCACAATAGAGTGCTGAAACAAGTGAAAAAAATCTCTGGGAACTTGCTTCAGTCCGTGACGGCGTAGTGCCAAACTAAAAAATAAAAGGAAAAGATGCTTGCACACAATTAGATTTGCAAAGTCAATTGATCCTGTTGTGTCTAGTTCAGGATTCCCCTGCTATTCAATCATGGGATCGATTCCGATCAAGCTGAAAGAAGTCATCCATTAGTTCCATGGTCGTTCTTCGTGACATGGCAGCACCTGTACTATTGAAATGGTTCAGTAGAGATGTTCCTACTGGTGCCCAATGTGTTAAGAATGATGTTCTCGTTTTCTTTTTAGCGTAGAACTCCATAGTCAATACCTTGCCTTTGTTACTTTTTGGCTCTTTTTGTTGCCGAATAACAGTATTTGATGAAACTACAGCTGAAACTAAATAGCTGGCTTCTATGTTGGCGAAGAATTTCGAGTAAACTAAGTTAAGTAAATCTCTACAACCAAGTTGCCTCGATGAATTCCAAAATGTTCAGTCAATTACGTTGAGAAGGGGATACTGTTCCTTAACTATGTAGGTGGTTGAGTCTGATGGAAACTATATTTAAATGGGCCATTTTTCTATTTTATCGTGTTTACGTTCACATTTATTTATTGTTTTTATATTTTGCTTTTGCTCTTGTGTTCATTACTTTCTTTCGTTCTCACAATTGTGTTTCAATCCCACTGACTATTGGAGATAGAGTATTCTGATAAGTTTGATTGCGTGATCTTTTGCGGTTTGCATATTACTTTCTTCTTTTCTAAACTGCTGCAGTATAAAATTGCTGCTGAGGTGAGGAAAGGGGTAACTAGTTTAACGCATACAGATGAGGATCTTCTTAAACTATTAGGACGTCAGAAGAACAGATACAGTGATGTTGAAGAGGTAGAGTGTCTTCGGTTAATTACCGCAGAATTACGCCTAGAACTTCGGAATCCACAACTTCATGAAGAAATATTAGCTAAGCTGAGGAAACGGGTAATTGATACGGATACAAGTGGATATCTTCTGAGTCTATTAGGACATCAGAAGGACGAGTACAGTGATGTCGAAGAGGTCGTTTATCTTCGTTCACTTGCTGCAATCTTACGTCATGAAATTTGGAACAATCCAAGACCTAAGTTAGAATATGCAGCATCAGAATGTGATCTTAGGGACACTTTAAGCCCAAAATCGGAGGAGAAGGCCAAACAGTTGATCTTAGAATGTGCAGCATCAGAATGTGACCAGTGGGATACAGATCTTGCAAGCAGTTTGTCGCTTCCGTCCTCTCCTGGGAGTGAAGACAATGATATTACTGTGAATGATAGTTCCTCTGGAAGATATCGCAATTCCAGTCAAAACTCCCAGTTTTATTCCAAGTTGAAGAGATTAATTGGGCAAGAGTAAAGATGAATCCCAAGATCTTTTGTCCAAGCAAGACCACATGATGAGGAATGGATGTTACACTGTAGCCATCACCTGTTCCGAAACAGCAGAACTGCCCCACATTAGAGTACAAGATTTTCTTGGATTATATAGGTTTTTTTTTTTGGGTTTGACTACTTGAATTAAATATTTTGAGTTGTGTGATATACGAACTTCTGTGATACCCCGAATCATTCTCTAGTTGCTGTGCCACTTAGGTTATGAAAGTTATGCAACATACTTAAATGTTGTTTTTTGGACTGTTTTTGATCATATGAGATGTTCAAAGTACATTGGAATGTGTGGAAAGCTTTTTGGGTTTAGCTCAGAGTTAATTAGGATGATATTTGGAAAAGAAAAAGAATAGACCCATGTAGTGAGCACTATTGAATTTGGACTGAGCTCTAGAAGAAGGGGAAAGCAGCAGTGGCTTTTCAGCTAATTCCAGCGCCACAGCGCTGGCACTAAGAAGGCTGCCGCTATGGCGCTAGAAAATAAATCAGGCACTATTTGTGCTTAAACCTTATAATAATGTCTAATTAGTTAACTCTATAGCACTGTATTCTAGACAACTAAAGATGTAAGAGCTTGATTTTTATATTTTTACTATGTTGCTTGTAACTATTTAAAATTCAAATTAGACTTTTCTTCTATGTTTAAATTCAAATTCAAAAATAGTAACTAATTATCAATAACATATAGTGCATAATTTATTTATTTTTAAACTAAAATTGCAAAGTAACTTTTTATTATGTTGTCACTTGGCGTACTATGATGTCTTTGACTCTCCTATTATATGTAGATAGATAGATTTTCTTTTTTAAAATTTAAATTTGAAAAGAAACTAATTATCACCTAACATTACTAATTTTGTCCTAAAATTATCAAGTGACTTTTTATTATATTGCCACTTGGCTTACTATGGTGTCTTTGCCTCTTCTATATAATACATAGATAGAAGATAGATTCCGTGATTAGTCAAATAGTGCCACATATGAAACAAATGGAGTAATACTAATAATTTGTTATATATTGTTCAAAATTATAAGTTGTTCCTACGTTTTTGCCTAGGCTTAGATTCTCAAGTTCAATAGGTTTTTGCCTAGGCTTAGATAGGAGACCGAGAGTTATTAGTTGCCTTTAGCGTTTTCGTCAAAGGATAAATGCAAGAGCGAGTTGTCCTTTGCAGCTAAATATTTTGACACATTGGGTTTATATTTTCCAGATATTTTTGTACGAATAGGTACTTTTTTGGAGCTTTCAATCGGAGAAAATATGCTCAAACCTAAGGTTCATCCTTGTGTTACCTCGTGGAACAATAAACATTCTTGTATTATTAAGTAAGTTTCAAAAATACCCTTCCGTTAATTTCGGTCAAAAAACAGCAAAAAACGTGCCAAGCACCTACCACTCTCCTCTGTTCTTTGTAGCCCCCACCAAATCCATTCTTCCACCTTTTTCCAATTCTTCCTTGTTGGAAAAGCATTTGGATTCTCAAATATCTTCTTAACTAGTAATTTATCCGCGTGCTAAAATATCAATAAACTTACAAAGTCTTAAGAAATTAACATCAATAAACTTACAAAAAAATTAGCAACTGATAATGGATTAGATATTGTTTCCTCATTACTATGAGAAACATGTATTGTTTCCTCATTACTAATAAAAAACTTACATTTGGTCTAATTCATAAATTTTATTTATTTGTATCAAATACTTATATGTGGTGTATAGTTAACTATATATTACCAATATAACTCATGTAAGTTTATCTAAGTAAGAAGTTCAAAGAGTATTAATTAAAAATGAGAACTAAAGTTTAGATTAGAATTACGTAAATTCAGCTAAACATTCCTAATTACACAAATAAAAACATTTAAATTATCATTATTTGTAAATTGAGAGAACAAAAATTTATATAAATATTAAAAACCAAAAATCTTTAGTAGGAGCACCTCTTTTTCGACATAAATTTAAAAAATTGTGCTTCTAATTTTAATGCATGTTCTTCTATCTAAGCTTGCTTTTACAAAATATACATTGAATGCATGAGTAACTGCAACATTAATATATTGAGATAATAATACCATTTAAGTTTACCAAAAAAAACACCATTTAAGGAATAAAAATCACCACTTTACAAAAACAATTAGTATTGACTTACAAATAAAGTATATGAACCATTCTCGAAACAGAAAATTCAATATAAAAGAAAAATCCCATTAGTTAACAAAATACTACTTTAAGAGAAGGAACCAAACTAATTTGATTAAATCTAACAATAGAAAAGTACCATCTAACTTACAATTTTATTTTCTTTTTCATACTAAGATGAGACATGTACACCCAAAATACTAAAGTAGATTGAATCCTCCAAAATAGCCGGTGAAACTTTTCAATCATATATAGTAAAAACAAAATTCTTAATTACTTTATTTTGTATACTACCAGTTATTCGTGGTACTTGTTTAAATACCAGCACACAAAAGCACATTAATAGCACAAAATGCTTGTGTAATTGCCCTTTTCAAAAGCTGTGAAGGACTCAAATCTAGTTATCCATATCGTAATAAAAAATTTCTTTTGTACCCAATGAAAATATTCACAAACTTATTACTTTTTCAAAGAGAAAAAAAAGAGATACGTATTATCAATTTACCTATCCTTTTGAAGGGAATTTAAAGAGTAACTAGGGTTAGAAAACCAAAAAAATTGAAAAATAAATGCATAATAAATCTATTAACGGGAACCGTAAGATACACGCTTTGTTAACTACCAACTAAGGGGTCATTTGATACATGAGATAAAAATAATAGTTCTGGAATAAAATTTGGGATTCACTTTATACCATATTTAGTTTGAGGTATTAGCTAATCTCGGGATAATTTTTACACTATAGAAGGTAGGATAACTAATCCCGTGGGATATACTACACATGAAATATCCTAGAATATTCCACCATTGTACCCAATAACCCCTAAGTAAATTGCAAGGAGTTGCATTTTTTGTACCTATGTGTAGAATAAAGCAAGATTTTCATTATTACATACATTTTCCATAACAGCAAAGGCAATAAGCAAAATAAAAAAATATTTGTTAACAATTCGTTAGCTAAAGATGAAGTAAGAGGAAAGGAGAAAAAATATATATTTAACTTAGTTTATAAAAAAAAACGCATGGGTAGTCCGTAATGCGAATGAATCCTGTACATTCTTATGTACTAATCTTTTGCAGTAGAATTGTGATGGAAAGTAGAGAAATACTATCAAATAAGTTAGCCTCTTTCCACAACCCATATACATGATTAAACTTGTATACTTCAATTAAACAATTTATTCAATTTCTGAAATTTCAGTCTATTAACTTTTATACTCGTATATTCTGTAAAATATCATCAAAATGTTGAATCACTTGTTCAATAACCCCATCTGAAAAAGCTTCTTGTAAAAACCTCTTTTTTCCTTTACATTACGTCATTAAATAATTTTGATCATAATGTCAAAAAGAACACCGACATACATATTCAAGATTTTATGATTTTATGAGAAAAAATCTCACAAATTCGAAACGAAAAAAAAACATAAATAAAAAGAACATATTTGCTTACCTTGAGAATTGTTTGGAATATGGTTTATTGAAATGCTTCATAATTCACAATTCATAGATAACAATGTCTTTCAGTCAATTCCTAGTGGAAAGCATATAATAAAATACTTAGCTTTGTCAAAGTATGACCAAATGTATTTTAAAAAAAGCCTCACACATGGAATGCAGAAAGGCATGAGATGGAAAAGTAACATTAAGGATTGCAAGGGCCGTTCAACTGTAACTGTTGTCATGGACTCTTGGTAAATGCATTAAAAATGAACCGTTTCATCTTTCCTTAAATGATGAAACTTAGGGGTGGACATTGGTCGGTTCGGTTCGGTTATGAATATTATCGGTTTAGCATATCGGTTATCGGTTTACAAATATGATAAACCGATAACCAAACCGATAAGATATTGGTTATCGGTTATTGGTTAATTGGTTATCGATCATTATCGGTTCGGTTATCGGTTTACCCGATAAGATAAAACAACTAAAACAGTTTTATAAACAACTTTATATCGGTATAAAATTGTTTTGCAATATTTCTTGTACCGAACTAAAACAATTTTATAAAACAGCTTTTTTGCAAGCTAAACAAGTTTTATAAAACAACTTATTTGTAATTGAGAAAGGTATAAAGACAAGTTGTTTTGCAACTAATAGTTCAACACTAAAATCTGCAACATAAAACAATAGAAACAGTTAACTAGTAGTTCAAGTAGTAAGTTTAAATTCTTAAAGCTGATTCTACTTTCTCTGTGATTTCATTTTAAAATCTGATTTATCTTTAAATGAGGTACTTTATGCTAATAATTTGACACCAACTAATAGGACAAAAACAAACGAAGAAAAAAAAGTAACAGAACAGAACAGTTAGAGTAGAGGAAAAAGCTGGAGATAAAAACTATGCAAACTAAAATCAGACCTCAAGTCATTTTAGCGAAACAAAAAATTGCATAAAACAGATAAATAAACGATTCTCACAAAAAACCAATAGTGAATGAATCAACACAATAGTGAAGTGAATCAACAGGAAAAAATAAACGATTCCCTCAAAAATTAACACGAAGATTGAATCAAGGAAAAAATAAACAGAGCATAACCTAATAGTGAAGTGAATCAACACAATAGTGAAGTGAATCAACAAGCAAAAATAAACGATTCCCTCAAAAATCAACACGAAGATTGAATCAACCGAAGATGAAGATGAAGGCAAGTAGGTAACCGAAGATGAAGATGAAGCAACTAAAAACTTACACAAAGAATGAAGATGAAGCTGAAGAATACGGCTGAGAAATGGGCTGAAGCGTGAAGTGAAGAGGGTGAAGTCTGAACTCTAAAGAATGTGGCTGACGGGCTGAGGCCGAGAAAGAATAGGGAAATAATGAAGCCTTAGTATGTATATACTTAAGGGTAAAGTAGTAAATTCGTTAATCCTTATTGGGTTATCGGTTAACCCAATAACAGAATTGCCAAATCGAGTCCGAACCGATAACCCAATAATGAAAAAATTCTAAACTGTTACCGAACCGTTAACCAATAACCCAATACCGATAACCCAATAAATAATTAACGGTTCGGGTTATCGGATTTACCCGATATATGCCCACCCTAATGTAACTTTTGGATTTTTAAAATATATTACAACAATTAAAAAATAATGAAAACC